ATGCTTTACAACAGCTCTGTAAGATTGGTGCTGTGATTATCCACAGCTACAGATGAAGAAGAGGGGGTTCCAAGAGATTAAGCGATTTGCTGCAGGGTACCCTGTTAAGTGCTCTCCTCCTACCTTGTACCCTGGGCTCAGAACACCAGCTCCTTCAGCCCCAGGGCCCTGCACTGCTTTCTTAAGTTGTCACCACACATTTGAATCTTGCTCTTGAACCTCAGCCTGGAGGTTGGTGCACAGCTGTCTGTCAGATGTTTTTCTTTTGCTGACTAAAGGAACACCTCTCAGGGTCTCAGTACACTGTCTGCTCCTAGATTCCTCTTCTTGTGGGTTTCATCAGATGATGTCAGGAGCCCAGGAGCCCTATGCAGCCTTCTATTGCCAGACTAGGTTGCTGCAGATACACCAGAAAAATGCATGCTGTTTACTACTAGAAAGGGCTTTGGAGTCTGTTGTAGGTTTTCTCTCCCTGTCTCATATTCTTCCCTAATTAGCCTTCCAAGGGTGAGGAGTCTATCTAAAAGAAGTCATCTTAGTCCAATTATTAAGAATAATTCCCTTAATCCACCTCCTACCTCAAAGCTCCATCCACCACTGGAGCAGCAGCACATCCCCCCTCCCCCTTTCTGTTTCCTAGATTAGAGGAGTCCAAACTGTGACTTGTGTAACTGGTCTGTGAGAACTTTCTTGCGGTACTTCGACAAGCATCATTAGGGTAAACATTTCCAGATCCTTAACATTTAGAGGTTCTTTTCCCTAAAATCTATTTGTGTGAGGATGGGCCAATGTTTGCATCACATATTTTTTTTTTTTTTTTGGTACCAGGGATTGAACTCAGAGGGACTCAACCACTGAGCCACATCCCCAGCCCTATTTTGTATTATATTTAGAGACAGGGTCTCATTGAGGTTCCTTAGGGCTAATTTGCTAACACTGGCTTGGAACTTGTGAACCTTCCACCTCAGCCTCCCAGGCCACTGGGATTACAGGCATGAGCCACCACCCCAGCCCATTTCATATCCTTTACCCACTCTAAAATGTACTCTGATGCTTTGCTCTAGGTTAGAGAAGAAAGCTTCCTCAGCAACAACAACAGAATACTAAAATGTTGATTTGGGGAAAATTTTGATGCTTAATGAGGCAACTTACCCTATAGAGCTTTCTGATGTTTTAGTCTTTTAGCTTTTCTATTAAGGGTATTTTGGCTCTCCTTGAGATGTTCTGAATTTAAAAATAAAGGAGAGTGGTAGAAGTAATGACAATTTTCGTTTAATGATTTTGCCTCTTCTATTATCAAAGAATGCATCATTCTGGAAGGAGAGAACTATGAAAGCAAAAGGAAGTGACCTGCGATTAGAAGATGACATGCTCAAACATCTTTTCTCATGCATTTTACAATTTTTTTCTTTTTATATATGACAGTAGAATGTATTTTGGCAAATCATACATACATAGAGTATAACTTATTCTATTTAGGACCCCACTCTTTTGTGGTTGTACATGATGCAGAGTTACCCTAATCCAATTTTTTTATTGGTGCTGGGAATTGCTTGTGTACCATAGGCAAGCCTTCTACTACTGAGCCGTCCTCCCAGCCCTTTTTTGCATATTTAAACTGAGCAGCCTTTTCAGTTACTCTCAATACTTGTCCCTAGCATGAGTCCTTAACTAGAAAGAAAAAGACTGCAGAGAAACCCAAGTAGACAAAATTAATTCTTCTAATTATTTTCTGTACAACAAGAATATTTTCTGGTACTACCAAGTTTGCAAAGTACACTGAAAAACACCCACTGTTAAACTTGTTTTTTTTTTTTCAGATTTAGTTACTGTTATTCAGTAAGATGGTTAGAAATTGTTCATCAAATCATGAAATATTTATGATTAATTATAAAATGATTAATATTTTCTACTTCCTATTAGTAAAAAGCATATTATTATGCTAGTTCCAGAATATTCACTTTTTATTTTGGTGGTGCTAGAGACTTAATGGCCTCATATATTAAGCATGAGCTTTACCACTGAGCTACAACTCCATTCAATCAGACTAGGTCACTTTTAAGAAGTACGTACCTCACTCTTTCATTAAATCTATGAAAAATTTGATTATGATTTCTAACCAAACTAATGGAATCACTTATGATTTTTATATTTGATTCCTATTTAATTATTCTCAAAAGTTCAACATCAAAGTTCAACAGATACACAATTATCATACATTTTATTGCTTGTTTCACAAAAGTTTATTACTCAAGCTACACATTATATTATACAATAATAAAAGCAGCTGGGCGTGGTGGCACACGCCTATAATCCCAGGGGCTGGGGAGGCTGAGACAGGAGAATTGCAAGTTAAAGGCCAGCCTCAGCAATGGTGAGGCACTAAGCAACTCAGTGAGATCCTGTCTCTAAATAAAATACAAAATAGGGCTGGGATGTGGCTCAGTGGTTGAGTTTCCCTGAGTTCATTCCCTGGTACAAAAAAAAAAGAAAAAAGAAAAAAAGCCATATTGGTTTATTATATATCTTAGCAAGTTATTAATAATTGATTAATTATATTAGAACTACATTGTAATCTTGACATTTAATTATTCATCTTAAAAGATTTCATTATTTTTACAATATTTCTCAAAATATAGATTAAAATTTATTTGAATAGAAAAATGAAGGCAGAATTTTTTTGACAAAGTCTAATTTACCTGATTGACTTGACAATATAGCTTGATAATTAGGCTACATGCTACACTTTTTCCATAAAAATCTACAGCTCTAACATTTGGAGAAAAATTTATAGAGATATGTAATAAGATATAAACATTATATTTAAAAATGCAAATTTACCCATTTATTTGAATTTAAAAGTCTAAATTTTCACATTTTCCCCCTCAATATATAGGGCTAAACAAAGTGCCTCTAACTGAAAGAATGGCATGTAAAAGGAATAGTGATATAGTTTTGTACAAGTCTCAGAGATTGAGAAAATTACTTACTTTATGGATTGTATAAAAAATTCTTCCACAGGATAAGATCATAGCACCTTAATTTTAAAACATCATTGATTTTTAAAACAGCAGAGGGGGAAAATAGCAATAGTAAAATATTAAATAGTAAAATACATTACTAAAAGAAACCCATAATTGCTGAAAAATATGATAAAAATAATAAATATCATTAAAAATCCTTCCACAATTCAAGTATTTTCCAGTATTTTACTTTCAATAAGATTGTTGGAAATGCATCAGTCAGCCATCAAAAATAGGTTTGGATAATAGACACCATAATTCACATAGCATAATTTTTACCATTTAAAAGTGTATAATCCAGTGACTTTTAGTATATTCAGAGTTGTGCAACTACCACAACAATCAATTTTAGAATATTTGTTTCATCCCAAAAAAATGCTGGTACCCCTTAAGCCAAGGTCCTCAACCCTTTTTATCCCCACCCCCTACACACTCACACTGGCAACTGCTAACCTGATTTCTGTCCCTATAGATATGCCTATTCTATAAATCCTTTAAGACTGGTTTCTTAGCATATTGTTTTCAAGATTCATCCAGGTGGAGCATGTTATCAATATTTTTTTTTCATTCTACTTTTTTTTATTGTTGTTGTTAATACCCCCATTGTACGGATATATCACATTTTATCAATTGACACATATTTGGGTTTCATCAATTTCTTGGCTATCAGGAATAATGCTGCTGTGGATATTCAAATGTTCAGGTTTTTGTATGAACCCAACTTTTTCATTTTTGGGGGGTATATATCTAGAAGTGGAATTGCTGGGTCATATGGTAATACTATTATTTACCGTTTGAAGAAATGTGAGATTGTTTTCCAAAGAGGTTGCACCATTTTACATTTCTAACTGCAGTGCATAATGGAGATCCAATTTCTCTACATCCTTGTCAACATGTTATCTGTATTCATTCTTGTACTGTTCTGATGAAATCACAGCTGTCCATTTTCTGTGGAGAAAACTAAAAAGGCTGGATTGCTTCGGAATTGGAAGACAGGACTAAGAGCAGACAGGTCTGAGTTCAAGTCATGGGGCAGGGCGGGGCTAAAGTAACCTTGGCCTAGCCATTCAGCTTTCTAATAAAAAGAGGAGCCTGACACTTCAGGTGGTCTCTAAGCTCTAAGATGCCTGTACGAGAAAGTCTCTTCCTATGCTTGGTGCACCATTAAGTCGGGCAACAGCCTGACCCAGGGAGTAGCGACGTCCTGCTCAATTAGGACTGCCCTTCACTTTCCAACCTTGGAGGCCAGTCCAAAGCTGAATTGGCCGATAGCTCCGGAGAAGCCGAGCTCCCTAGGCCCGGATCGCTGAGAAGTGGATGACAGGTCATTCCAGGACAAGGAAAGGAGGCTCCAAGAACTACAACTCCCAGGAGTCCGTGGGGGTGCTACCCAGAGGCCTGAGCCAGGTGCCCGCTAGGAGCACTAAGCAGCCACCCCGCCGCGCTTCATTGTTAAGACCACTGAGCCAGGTAACCCGAGCGCATGCCCAGTCACATCCCAACTAGCTCGGCTTCTTTCCTTCCTTCAGGCCTCTTCTTTTCCGGTACTGCAGAAGCGCATTACCCGTTCCACTTCCGCCCCCTTGTCAGGACATGTGGAGAGGGCGGGGACTCTGGCAAGCGCGTTGTCAGGGGTGTATACCCGCGCGTTCACGGGCGATTTAAGAGGGAGGGGACTAAACTTTGGGTGTGGAAGGTTTGAGACCGCGGTGAACAGACAACGCATGCGTCCGAGCAGTGCTGCCAAGCTCCAGGAGTTGGAAAGGGGCGGGGCGGAAATGCGCTGTTGGGCTGACGCTTGCGCATTGGCCACCAGTGCCCCGCCTCCTTTTACAGTTTTCCCCTCCTCCTACACCACCCTCCCGGAAGTGGAGCCGCCCTCGCGCCCACCAGCGGCCACCTCTGCGACAGACCCCGCCCCCTGCCCCGCCCCTGCCCCGCCCCCTAGGTCTCCGCCCCTTCTTCTGGTGGTGGCGCCCGGTGGCATCCCGGGTAGTGGCGGTTTTGGTGCCCGAAGCCGGGAGCGCAGAGTCGTTCCCGGGCGAGGCGGCCAGGCTATGATTGCGGGTCCCCGGCGTCCCGCTCCGGCCAGCCAGCGTCCCTGTCTCAGCCTGTGCCGGTGCCCGTGCCCGAGCGATTTCCTCAGCCCGGCCCCGAGGCGCGGTTGTTGGCGGCGCCCCTGGCGCGCCCCCTCCTCCGATGGCGGCGGAAATCCAGCCCAAGCCGCTGACCCGCAAGCCGATTCTGCTGCAGCGGGTCGAGGGGTCTCAAGAGGTGGTGAATATGGCTGTGATCGTGCCCAAAGAGGAGGGCGTCATCAGTGTCTCAGAGGACAGGTACGGACTGCTGCCACTTGGTCGCGAGGAAGGCGGGACGGGCCGGCGGTCCCCGAGCGCGCGTGCCTCCACGTCGGCGCGAGTGTAGACAAGCTTTTCCAAGTTTTATTATAATACGCATCCTTGTAGTGCCTGTGTCCACCCGTAAGCTGCTGCATCTGTGTGGCTCCGCGAAGCAGAGACAGGACCCGGTCGTGCGCTCTGGCCTCATCCGCGGCCGGGTGGAGCCTGGGAGATCCGGGATGACCCTTGAGCTAACGGTGCGCCAGACACCGGACCTCGCTGCAGCTCTGGGCACGGGTGGGTTAGAGAGAGAAGCCGCTGGGGCCTGCAGGTGTGTGCCTAGGGAGGATGCTCCGAGCCGCCACCACAAGATAAACTAAAGATTTGGGAGTTGTTCTCTGGTACAGTTCTTAGGGCCCCAAACTGAGAAAGCAAATGCCAGTGCTTTCTCCTAGACATTCTCCCCTAATCCATACTTCCCGGACATCTTACCCTGAATTCAGGGAATATTATAAGTTGTGGAAAGAGTAACTTTGGGCTTCTGCGTGGTGCCTGCTCTCCTCTTATCTCTTCTAGCTTAAGGGGAAGCGCCTAGAACTTGCTGGGGACCACTGCTGCAAATAGCTTTTTGAGTTCCTTCCCTTTGCTTGCTTCCTTTATTTTTGCTTAATTTTGCTTAATTTGCAGAAGTGGAGCTGGTTGTTCTGCCTTCATTAGACTCCTTTGCATTGTGTTTTTACTTTAAGTTAATTCCCTTTAGTATGCAGAAATGAGGCTGAGGAAGGTAATTTCCAGAGGAATGCTGCTTGAATATTATAGTTATGGTAATGTATCTGGAAGTGTTACTCGGATGATATCTCAAGCATTCTAAAAATGTAACTTTGTAGAGATACAGGCAAGGATTTTTTTTTGTACCTTAAAACAGTAGTTAGGTCTTCTTAATAGAAGTTCAAATTATGCTGATGTAGAGAAAATTTCTCCCATGGTGGCTTCTGCAGTTGCACAGGTAAAGCAATAGTGTTCATTATTCTCTTTATGTTGATTTCAGCACTTTGTTTATAATGTGGCCTTAAAACTTTTGCTTGATAGATATGTTATATCTAGTTAAACTCACATGTGTATTATACATCCTAGTTTTCATCATGGCTCATACAAATGGCAGCTAACTCATTTTCCATCAATATCCAGTGGAAAACATTATAAACATACAGTCTGCAATGAATAGAAGAAATTCAGTGGCTGACTGGAATACATGATATAGGAGCCTTTTAAAATTCACAAACAGGTCTTAATAAGAATATCTAGTTTTTCCATAGGGGCAGAATTCTATTAAAAGAGATTGCTTCTGGACCTACAGATTCTATCTCATAGAACTATTTTATGGAATACATTCAATAAAATATATTGATGTCACTTTCTCACTATAGATTAAATTGATCAATTCCTAACTATTGTAAGAAAATTCTAAGTAAATTCATTGAAATGAGTATGAGAAGGAGAAAAGTAGTTAAATCTAAGCGCCTTTAATACTAGTTTTGAAACTTTTGATTTCCATTCCACTGCATTTACCTTAAAAGAAATAGCTTTAATGGTGTATATTTCAAAGTGTTTGGAGAAGCTAAAATTGTATGTATGGAAGAAGCTGTAGAATCAATTTCATTTTGATTATAGGATAAAAGAAACACAGTGTTTAACTGTATTTTACTTTTCACTTTCCTAGTTTGTAATGTAAAGAATAGAAATTATTTTATCAGCATTACTATTAAATAAATAAGATCCATACAGAAATCCAGTATTGTTATTTAAAAAAAAATTTTTTTTTAGTTATAGTTGGACACAATACCTTTATTTTATTTATTTATTTTTATGTGGTGCTGAGGATCAAACCCAGGGCCTTACACGTGCTAAGCAAGCGCTCTACCACTGAGCCCCAGCCCCAGCCCCTATTGTTCTTTTTTATATATTTTATTTTTACTCAGATTGGCAAGTCTGCTGCTTTACGTTATGCATTCAAGTCTGAAGACAACTGTAATTTAGAGCTGTTTCACTTACGGTTTTTATTAAGAAATTGATCTATATTCTTGCTTTTCAAAAATCCACTGTTAATGTCACCTGATATAATACTAAAGATATGAAGCTAGAATATTAATGTTCATGAAAACCTATAAATCCATGACCATAACTACTTCAGCTGGTAAATAGTCATCTTCATACTTGAATTATAAGGTTAAGCTACAAATAATGTCATACCTGAACACTGAATGTCTTATAAGTTCTTATGAAACCCTGGTTTTCTTTTTGACCTATGATTCCCTAAAAAAAAAACACTTAACATTTTCTGTTTTAAACAGTAATGTATATACTTCATGTCTATTTTATCATCTGTGAGTTCTCTAGGGAGTTGTGTGGGTTTATTCACTATAGTATCTGTAGGGCCCACACAGTGGCACAAACTCTAGGAGTTCCTGGATAAATGTTTATTGTTTCAGTGTAGTTTTTAGTTTTTTTTTTCCCCCTGTGAAAGTGCTAAGATGTGGCGTCTTAGCTGTTGTAGACATTTAATTGGTATTTGTTGAATGAATATTTTGATGACCTACGAAAACCTTATACGGACAAATGTACACTGTGGGAAAAGTGTTGGACTGGGAGGCTTTAAGGTACCTTAAAATTCTGAAAGCCCACACATTACTTCATTTATTCCATCAATAAACATTTGAGTTCCTGTTGTGTTATAGTCACATGTATACACAATGATGAAAATGACAAAGTCTTTTGGGATGGTCCCAATACTAATTAGTGTGGAACATTTTATAATAATATTGTTTAATGAAACTCTAAGAGGTAGTATTGAAAGGAAATTTTTCAGATGGGGAAGAATGGCGGGATTCCATAGTCCTTATTGTCCTCTAAGTTTTACTTTCCTTTGGAGGATTATTTCATTTGGATTACCATTTTAACCCTCAATCAGTATCTTGGGATAATATTACTTAAATTTTCAAGCTCAAGAATGGATGAGAACTATTACCTTCAAGTTCACTTTAGAAAATTAGGACAACCTGGAACTTTTATTGTTATTAAAGGAGGAAACTTAAGGGAATATAAGAACTATAAAAACAATTTGAAATAATTAAAAAAAAAAAACAATTTGATACATGAGTAAAGATTTCTGGTACTACCATAACACAGAGCCTATTCCCAGAACTCACTGCCCTTTTCTGAGTTTGTTTTGGTTGTAACTATGGTCTATTTTCAAAGGATGCACCAAACTTTGGGTTCCTCATTTCCTAGCATCTTTTGGACTGTCTTTTCTGAGTAAATGCCATTTTACCATTCTGTGCTTAAAAACTTTATCTCAGACATCTTTGCCTTGTTTTGGTTAAGACATATGCTTGTAGTTTATCTGGGTCTTCCTTGTTTAGTGGCAGACTCTTAAGTGATAAAGCCAGGAGGGACTTCTCTCCAGGTGGGATCCAGCCCCATTCAGACCTTTATCTTTATTTATCTTTATAAGTTCTTTATTTGCTTGTCTTCACACAAGACAGCAATCTTACCATTCATACAGAGAGTTTCAGTAACTAGGTAGTTTCTATTGGACATTTATGGGAAATTTTTCTTTCCCCAGGAGATGACACAGTGCTCTGAAGACAGGTACAGAATTGCCTTCTGGAATTGCCAAAAAAAAATCTTCTCTGCTTGTGGTAGTTAGAGAAGACCAACAATCTCTTGCCCATATGGTCCTTGCAGGATGAGTGGGAGTTCATATGAAAAAGCTGGGATAATGGAAAGCAGTAAAATGCTAGGTAGAGGGGTCAAGAAAACTCCCATGTATTGAGAAGCATTGGAATGAGTTGATGATGACTGTAGACTGGAGCCATGTTTGTTTGGAACTTAGCTCAGCATTGTCACACTTTGAGCAGTGTGGAAAATCAGTGTCTCCAGGAAAGTAATTGGGTGCAAGGGTGCAGAACTTTTTCTGGAGAGTAGGTACTGTGAAGGGAAATGTTCTGAACCCCTACAGTAAATAAAAGGGGGTCAGATTTTCATCTTTTTTTGTTTGTTTTTTGGTGGTATAGTGGAACCCAACCCAAGAACTCATGCATGCTAGGAAGTGCTATATCACTGTGCTGTAGCCCTCAGATTTTCATCTTAATTGAAGGAGATCTGATGCTCAGTGCCTGGCATAAAGGAGATATGAAGTATATGTTCTTTTAACAAATCAAGAAACAACTGTTTGAATGGAAATGGGCTTGAGGCAGATGAGTTTCCATGAACAAGGACTCGTCAATTGAGCTTGAGAGAAATTTAGCAGCTTGCCTTGGGATAGAGATAGGCTGGAACAAGGAGGGGGTTGGATATTTTTCTCTCTATATGGCCTTTTGAACTACTATGATTCTAAGTGGCCATGCATACTTGACTATTTCTTGAAAAGATGTGTTAAAATTTCATTTTATCTTATAAATCTTGATAGTATTGGTTCATTTACCATTCACACTTCTTTTCATTGTGAAATTGTACTTAATTCTCTGCTTTAACTATTAGTTTCACTAATAATTAGATCTTGGCTCAATTAGTTTAGCTTTTGATAGAACTTTATGCACCATGTATTTTATAAGTTTTGCATAAATTTTTTAAGAAAGTAAGCATAGTTGTGAAATTGAGGACTTCTTGGAGTGACAGAGTGAGGTCTCTGAAGTCAGCAAAATTAGAGCCCATCTAGATTAAATTTTGAGTGTGTGGAATCTCTAATGATATAAAATTAATAAATTTTCAACTCTGTATTTGAGACTTATCACTTAGCATTAATAATTGCGGGTTTCAAGGTTCTGAAGAGGGAACTTACCCCAAATGTTTTTTGAAAATCAGACTTTATTCTGAATTCAAGACATGCTAGTGAATCTGTCTTGAGACAGAATGCTTGTTTACCTTCTCTAAAGGTCAGCAAGAAATTTGACTTTTTTTTTTCCCCAATGGACCTTTATTTTATTTATTTATATGTG